AAGGAGATGTGTAGCTCCGCTACAGCACGTCCGGCACTAGACTACAGCAAATTCGCAAAACCATACCAAGTGCGTCACCGAAGGTGGCCGTTCCCGTACATCCATCTGACTCTGAGCACCGGCGTTGCGTCAAAATTTACGAGTTTAAACATAACAATGGTTTAATAGACAGGTCGGATCCTCTCTCCTTCGCTCGCGTATATGTCCAAGCATGCGACTGCGAGAATCAATTGTTTAAGCGCGCATATTTGGCAAAGTAATAGGCCTGGAAACTTACTATTCAAGCACGACGCTATACTTTAAAAGTCGTAGCAACCTTTACTTCTCAGTTAAAGGGTCACGCTTTGTGCCGACTAGTCGGACAGCGTTGCGTTGATTTGAGGAGAATATGCGATGGGAGTTCTTGCCAATTTCGTGCTGTCAATATTTAAATCTAGTCCGGCTGTGTGATTGCTGCTAACTTCATATGCAGCACACATTGCGGTACTGTAACGATCGTTACACGAAACGAAAAGAACGCGTTTTCCTTTGAGTGTGTTGGTAATGATGCCAACGACGACCATTGACGTGGACGGCGTCATGCGCGCTGACGTAATTTGTCGTGAGTTTCAGCTGCTTTCTTCGACTCTTTTGACACATGTTTCTAAAGTCGTCACTGACCATGTGACCTATGCTGATGAGACTTTACACGAGAACTAGTGCCCGTCATGTCACCCACACTGCACTTTCTATGTACCGCATAATTTGGTGCACGATCTGCAACGAAGGTGCGAGCGCCCCATGCTGATCGGTGTAGCGATATATGGACTGGCTTTGGAAAAATCTTTTCTAGAATAAAAAATAAAAATTGATACAGCTTTTCGCTTTTCTTACGTCCAAACAATTGAATTAATGCCAAGGCAGCCACTTCACGCTCATCATTTAAAAATTAGAAGTGTATTTACATATATTTTTCTGATAAGTGGATTCTCTAATTTTACAGTATTCGCTTATTAATTTGATGAATATTTATTAATTCATTTAATGTTGAAATGAAAAGGATATAAAATTCGTTTATCGAAAGGTCTATAAAAACATACCAATTTGTAGCTTCAATTTTGATGTAAATAAGAAGTTGCTGAATGTCTGTCTGTTTTTTTACACCTAAAAAAGCTTAAAAATTGCTTTGCGAGAAAAATCAGTTTTGTTTATTATAGGTAAAAATATTTAATGTCGTTGATGGAACTGTGGTGTAGCTGTAGGAGAAAAAGGACGGCACTTGCGATATAGTTGAGTGGTTGGCTGACAAGGAACCGACTTCCGACCAGTGCCATCGGGCGGCTCTGCTAGTCGTGTTTCGGGTCTTTTTGCATCTCGCTCCGTACACGTACGATCAGCACGACATCACTCGAAAATGCGCACGTACTCCGTCGAAATGCTGGCTGCCACTGCTATGTTGGCATGTTTTCCGAGTTCCTCAGGGGCGTCCGGCTCCAAGATGGTGCATGTCCATACTGATCACTCTCATATCGGTCACAAAAGCGACTTCTTTGACAGCCGGTTGCTGCGAGCGAACAATTCCTTGTACGAGGAAGAGAGGGCGTCATTAAGGAGTGGGGGATTCTCGCGGATGGAAACTATTGCAGGGGATGCTTTGATGCATCTTCGACAAAAATTACATACCGTAACTGACAATACGCTTACTGAACAAGTTTGTGCTCGGATTAAACAATTGGATGACCGTGTTGTGGCGCGCTATGCCGGACATTTAGAAAATCGTCCAGAACAGCTTCGAGTGGTGTTGGATAAGCTGTCTCGCGACGACCTGCGCGCTGTGAAGGAGTTGATTCAAACCTTTGAGAAAGACCAGGCAAATGAACCGTTGAAGAAGACATCAGAGCTAATGAGTGATCTTTCGAGCAATGACGGCGTCGAGGCCTTTGAGCAAACGGAGGAGTATCTCGAAACGTTGTACCCAGCGAATCTGCACATTTTGAAAAATTACGTCGCTGCGTGGAACGCAGCTCATAAGAAAGATTTTTCACTCCTGGATTTTCTAGTCGTACTCTATGGTGGTGTAGCTAAACTCGCACCTGCTTTGTCGATCGCAAAGAATGGTCATTTTAGCGGAGATGATGCAGAGCTGTTGCAGACGGAAATGGTGACGAAGTGGCTGGCCCACGATACACCCGTCGATGAAGTTTTTTACTTGCTGGAGCTCAACACACTAGGAGCGAATGATTTGCCTTACGAATATCTGGACACATTGGACAGATACATCGCACTGTACAAAGCCAAGCACCCTGGCGCCGACGAAGATTCGGCAAAGTGTCTACGGAAGCATTTTGACGACGGCAAGGTAGTACGGATGATTGCGGATGCGAAGAAAAAGTCATCATACCCGAACATGGTCTTGAGAGATCTTGTGAAGCGTTGGAAGTTTGAAAATAGTGCCATTTCGATCGTGGACATTGCTGACAAATTTCGTGAAGCAGTGATCGATGAAACGACGGTGCTGTATCTGCTGCTGGCGTTCTATGGTCACGTGTACGACCTCGCGCGCGCTTTATCTTTAGCTAAGAAAGACACGGCGAGCAGAGCGAAAGCTGAGCATCTACAGCTGACGATGCTGACGAGCTGGCTGCAACGCAAAGTATCCGTCAAATTTGTCCATAAGCTTCTGGAGCCCCCTAATACTAGGACGGCCGGTCTCATATTCGAGAACATGGAAACGTTGGTTCAATACAGCGTACTGTACAACAAGTTGTGGCCTCAAGCTCGTACGAGTACCCTAACGTATTTACGGAACCAGTTTGACGATGGCGAGATAGTACGGATGATCGCGGATGCAATGAAGATGTCACCCTACATCAAACAGATTTTGAGAGGTCTTGTGAAGCGTTGGAAGTTGGAAAATAGTGCCATTTCGATCGTGGACATTGCTGACAAGTTCCGTGAAGCAGTGATCGATGAAACGGCGGTGCTGAATCTGCTGCTGGCGTTCTATGGTCACGAGTCCGACCTCGCGCGCGCTTTATCTTTAGCTAAGAAAGACACGGCGAGCAGAGTGAAAGCTGAGCATCTACAGCTGACGATGTTGACGAACTGGCTGCAGGACAAAGTACTCGTCGAGGATGTCCATAAGCTTTTGAAGCCCCCTAATACTAGGACGGCCGGTATCAAGTTCGAGAACATGGAAACGTTGGTGCAATACATGACACTGTACAACACGAATTATCCTCAAGCTCGTACGAGTACCCTAACGTATTTACGGAACCATTTTGACGATGGCGAGATAGTACGGATGATCGCGGATGCAATGGAGATGTCGCCCTACATCGAACATATTTTGAGAGATCTTGTGAAGCTTTGGAAGTTGGAAAATAGTGCCATTTCGATCGTAGACATTGCTGACAAGTTCCGTGAAGCAGTGATCGATGAAACGGCGGTGCTGAATCTGCTGCTGGCGTTCTATGGTCACGAGTACGACCTCGCGCGCGCCATATATTTAGCTAAGAAAGACACGGCGAGCAGAGTGAAAGCTGAGCATCTACAGCACACGATGCTGACGAGCTGGCTACAAAAATTGGAACCAGTCCAATTTGTCCATAATCTTCTGGAGCCCCCTGATGCTAGGACGGCCGGTCTCAAGTTCGAGAACATGGAAACGTTGGTTCAATACATGACACTGTACAACACGAATTATCCTCAAGCTCACATGGATATTCTAATATATTTACGGCATTACTTTGCAGATGGCGAGATAGTACGGATGATCGCGGATGCAATGGAGATGTCACCTGACATCAAACATATTTTGAGAGATCTTGTGAAGCTTTGGAAGTTGGAAAATAGTGCTATTTCGATCGTGGACATTGCTGACAAGTTCCGTGAAGCAGTAATCGATGAAACGGCGGTGCTGAATCTGCTGCTGGCGTTCTATGGTCACGAGTACGACCTCGCGCGCGCTTTATCTTTAGCTAAGAAAGACACGGCGAGCAGAGTGAAAGCTGAGCATCTACAGCACACGATGCTGACGAGCTGGCTACAAAAATTGGAACCCGTCGAATTTGTCTATAATCTTCTGAAGCCCCCTAATACTAGGACTGCCGGTCTCAAGTTCAAGAACATGGAAACGTTGGTTCAATACATGACACTGTACAACACGAATTATCCTCAAGCTCACATGGATATTCTAATATATTTACGGCATTACTTTGCAGATGGCGAGATAGTACGGATGATCGCGGATGCAATGGAGATGTCACCTGACATCAAACATATTTTGAGAGATCTTGTGAAGCGTTGGAAGTTTGAAAATAGTGCCATTTCGATCGTGAACATTGCTGACAAGTTCCGTAAAGCAGTGATCGATGAAACGACGGTTCTGGATCTGCTGCTGGCGTTCTATGGTCACGTGTACGACCTTGCGCGCGCTTTATCTTTAGCTAAGAAAGACACGGCGAGCAGAGTGAAAGCTGAGCATCTACAGCTGACGATGTTGACAAGCTGGCTGCAGCACAAAGTACCCGTCAAGGTTGCCTACCAGCTTCTGGAGCCCCCTAATACTAGGACGGCCGGTATCAAGTTCGAGAACATGGAAACGTTGGTGCAATACATGACACTGTACAACACGAATTATCCTCAAGCTCGTACGAGTATCCTAACGTATTTACGGAACCAGTTTGACGATGGCGAGATAGTACGGATGATCGCGGATGCAATGGAGATGTCACCTGACATCAAACAGATTTTGAGAGATCTTGTGAAGCGTTGGAAGCTGGAAAACAGTGCCATTTCGATCGTGGACGTTGCTGACAAATTCCGTGAAGCAGTGATCGATGAAACGACGGTGCTGAATCTGCTGCTGGCGTTCTATGATCACGTGTCTGACCTCGCGCGCGCTTTATCTTTAGCTAAGAAAGACACGGCGAGCAGAGCGAAAGCTGAGCATCTACAGCTGACGATGTTGACGAACTGGCTGCAGCACAAATTATCCGTCAAAGCTGTCCATAAGCTTCTGAAGCCCCCTGATGCTAGGACGGCCGGTCTCAAGTTCGAGAACATGGAAACGTTGGTGCAATACATGACACTGTGCAACGAGGTGTATCCTGAGAAGTCCATGAATGTAATTAAAGTGCTAGGGGTGTTATTTAACAATGACGAGATGGTACGGATGATCGTAGATGCACTTGAGATGTCACCAAACATTGAACAGGTTTTAAAAGATCTTGTGAGTCGGTGGAAGTTTAGAAAAAAAATTCCGTTACGATCATGGATGTCGCTGATAAATTTCGTGAAGCAGTGGTCGATGAATCGACGGTGATGGATCTATTGACGGTCTGTTATGACGTGTCCGAACTCGCGCGCTTTTACGCAAGCTAAGAACGATGCAGCAAACAGAAGTTGATTTGAGTGTCTGCAGCTCATGATCTTGACGAATTGGCTGGAACATGATGTACCCATCCAACATGTCCATAAGTTCTTAAAGCTTCTCAATACTGGAAAGACCAGCGTTGAGTACGGAAACTTGGAACCGTTGGTTCTTTACATTGGAATGTACAGAGAGCTGCATCCTGCTATTGCTGGTGATGAAATGTTCGCGTATCTACGAAATTGTTTCGACAACGGCGAGATTGCACGGATGGTTGCCGTAGCAAATGAACGAAGTATATACATCAAACAGACTGTGAAAGATCTTGTCAAGAGTTGATGTTGAAAAACGTACCATAGTGCTCATGGACATCGATTGTGAACTTCTCGCGCCTAGACGGACGTGGTATGTCAGTATGGGTTGTACATCGTGTAGAACCTGCTTTGTTGCATGTTTCTCCGCGGAACCCTAGCGCGATCAAAATCGTTTACCGATCGTTGATCGTTCCGGCAACTGGATCTCACGATTGATAGGTATATTTATCTCGAAGAATCATCCATATGTTCGACTGCACATTCCGATGATCCAATAAACTTCTTTTCTCATATTTGTTGTGGTCAGAGTCAACACCGCCTATCGTTTTACACGAACCTTCGGCCGTGATCGTAAACATTGTCCATATACCCTTCACAGTCGAGCGCAACATACATACATCGTTACCTTTTCAGCACTTCATGCACCTGTCTTAATTTCATCCCTACTTTGAGCACCATGACCAAGATAATTTAGAAAATCATCATGCTATTACTTTAAAAAATGTTTCCTTCTCAGGATGAAGCTTTATCTAAATCAGCACCCAGTCGCAGTTTCGGACGAACAGTTAGCTACAAACTTACGGTATTTGCGCGAGAGTTTGTACCATCGTGAAAAAATAGGGAGAGGCTAAATACACAGGGCACTATTGCTAAATACACCAGCGCCTATTCATTGGACTTTATGTTTATATGGCAACAATGGTGACGCAGCCAGGCCACGTCAATTCGAATATTACAGGATAAGCTGATCAGAAATGCATCCGTAACGGAGCCAGGCCATGCTTTTCCAAATTGATTACAGAATAGGATAATCAAAAATGCATCCGTAACGGAGCCAGGCCATGCTTTTCCAAATTGATTACAGAATAGGATAATCAAAAATGCACCCGCGGCTTGACACTGCAACCGTAGATAAATTGTTCTGGTCCTTCAAGTGCTGCAGCAGAGCTTCCGTGTGTAATTTTCCACCAAGTGCCGTTCTGTTTGCCTTTTAAACGATACTGTGGACATCTTTGGCATTTAAAAGGACACCCACTTCCTTCTACTGGTTAACAATAACCTATAATAGTCACATACAGACAAAAAAATGATGACCTGCTGTATATGACTTCGACACGCACACATAACCGTGAAGTGGCTCCATCTTGATGCATTTGAACGACCCTAGAATTACTATCTTCAGTTTCTCTCGTCGCACGTCGCGCCGCCGGTAGCGCTAGAAGCATGGTCTTGCTGATACAACGAGAGTAACCGGTGTATCAGTTGTCCACTGAAAACGTTGACCAGGAATTTTCTTCGAGGGCGTGCTTGTCATACATGATCACGAGCTCGTATGAATAGCCGACTTTTTTGCTCCGCGATATCGCACTGACGCGTCCCGACTGTGGAATCTCCTATAATGTATTTCCTGTGAACATGTAAGGAAACTGCGCTTGGGACCAATCGAACACCTGCGGGATACACTAATAGCAACGCCTTAGCGTACGGCGAACCGCTTCAAATCCTCTACAGCCGTCTTTTGACTGTCAAAAGACCCGACCGGTAAAGACTCTTTTCAGATCCATGATATATCAGCGGCGGGAGTCATAGGGCCAGCATCAACTTAAAACTTAACCTGGTTGTCAGCGACGACAGAATTAGCATCAGCATTAACAATTGTAGCAGTGGCAGCAGCACTAGTGGAGGTGGATGAAGAGCTCATCATCATGCGTAAGACAACGAATGATCTCTTTTTAAATTGATGTGGCTATGTTACAGATGTATTTCTGCTTATATTATCCTATAATATTTTAATGGACATGGCATCAATGTGATACAACTGTTGCCATATATACATTAACTCTAATGGATAAGCGCGTAGTGTATTTAGCAATAATGCCAGGTGAATTTAGCCTCTCCCGAAAAATACCAACTTTATCCGGTGACGTTTATACGCCTGTAATAAGGCTTCATATATTGTATCTGCTTCATCGGCTTGTGTCTCTATAGCGTGTTCGTTTTCATGGACAAAAAACTTTCAATCATACGACCGTACCCGATCGAGCGATCGGATGGCACGTCCACGATGATGTACACTTTAATCTCACCCATAACTAGGTGCCTGATGTAGAAACCTATCCGTCATTATAGCGTCATCGAAATCCAAGCGATCTGAAATGTCGTCTGTCAACATACGTTTCGCTCGACCAGGACTGGTAGAATTTTACTTTTGGGATTGTCATATGAACTTCACAAAGCAATCAGTGGGGTTTACCCGCTTAACTAGGTTGTACTTCAGTGGCCTCATATCTCAGCAACTCAAGATTTCCATACCACATATGCGACAAACTTTTCTGTGCTAGTCACATCCATTACAGAATAAGTAAGGATTTGTATTTCATATTTACGTAGGTGTATCGATTGTGATACTTAAGCAATGGATAAGAAGACGAGTTTCCGACCGTCCAAAGTCCACCAAATAGCTCACAGGAGCCGAGAACTTTCTCATTTATAGGAGGAAACGAATCATATTTACGAACATAATACAACGCTTTATCATAAAAACATAATAAGCTATAACGTATTGCGGTGGAGTCGTTATCAATTCAGCGTAAATATCCTTACATATTTTAACAGATCAGAATCTATGATACACATTCACCTTGTGCTCTTCTATATCGACATTCAGCTGATAGTCCGGTCATGATTGCAATTCAAAGCCTCTTGGTATGAATACAACACCGTAGTGAATCCCGATTGCGAGTTTATCGCTTCGGGATGGCAATAATGTGCATAAAAAACATGATGCTGCTATCAGACGCTAGTAAAGAATACCAGCTAAAATACACAGAACCGACCGTAAGCAGATCGATAGCGGAAGTCAACCGCTTATCATGATCTTCCCAATTCTGCTAATTTGCTTTGTTTCATAGATCTATGATTTATAGCGTTCTCGTTCACATTTTACTAATTTTCTGTCGATAACTCAACACGACATATTGTCTTTCGAAAAATTGGCTGACAACTCGAATGAATTATCCTTAGAAGACCGACAAGATCCTGGTGTACCGTCATGACGTATTGTTATGCTAGAGTCGAATCGTAGAAAAACGCGTTCGGTACATTCATCGTATGTGTTATAAGTAGTCTATAAGAAACGTGTCTTCGCGATCGCATACTATGAAAAATTAACCCTGACAACAAAATAGCACTTTTTGTGTACGAACTTAGCAACACGGTAATTTTATCTATAGCGATAGCATCAATTTGTACGCAATATATTGCTTGCGAATTCTCTGGTGAAATAACTCAACTTCGGTGGTCCCTTTTCATAATAATGGAAACTGCACACACGTGTGTGTAGCGCTGAACAATGTGGTTCAAACTCGTAATGTGGCAATTGATTGAATGTCGCTGATAAGTATGGCCAAATTCTTGGTGGCCCATCTCAAATCACAACTCTGATAAAAAATGAAATTACAAAACAATCATATCGCGATAATTTGGTACAACTGGACGAACCATCGAGGTGTGAGATTCCAACTATATTGTCGATTAAAGTCACAAAATTACAACTTGCTTTTATTGACGTCGTGTGTAGTAACAATTATGGACCACGAATTTACCTCGTTAGCGGATATTAACTGCACATATTCAATCAAGTCTATCTTCAATGGATATATACAGTGCTTTTCATCTTAGGCTACCTTTTTTGATCGACCTATACTTTCTTATATATCTTGTCGTGTGACCTCTGATGGCGGCCAATAGCTTGCGGTGATCTCGCGATCTCTTGTATCTAAATTATTCGATCGACATGCTACTATTTCTGCAATAAGTATATGCGGTCAAATGATTAGAAATTATAAGTCTTCTATTATTCACGTGGATCTTGCCCTTCATATGCCTTGATGATATTAACAAGCCAATTGGAGATCTGGTTCCTGTGGTGGAACGGGGTTCACAAAATTGTGATCCCGCCTCTTCACAGGTGCCCAGACGATCGACTATCGGTGGGGGGTACTCCGTGTCCGTACTTGATTTCTTCCTCACCTTGTGTACCCGTCGGAAGGGCAATTTGTACTCTTCTCGGTGGACTAGTGTCGATGCCTAGCTCGACCGTGGTTAAGGATGGGGTGATCGCGTAGAAATCCTCACTTGATCACTGGTTACTTGGGGCACTTGATATGAGATACCCGGATCTCGTTGAGATCGCCCTTTCCAAATGTAGATCTTGATTTGCTTGAACTCCTGACCACTTGGGCCGTCTCGCGATCTTGACCCCCTTGAGTTCTTGCTGCGTCCTATCGAAGTTGGCTTGTTGTTTGTGAGAGTCCTCGTATGCACCTGGCCAAACAATCCAGGTGCGACACTTGGGTAGACGGAGCGTGGTTCTTGATCGTCGGGAGGCCGAAGATCCTGCCCGGAAGAAGCGACGCGTGTCTTTTGAAGTAAATTGAACTCTGTTTAATGCTAGCCAACCATTCTGCTTAACCTAGGATATAGCCTATCTATACAGAAGGTACTTGTCACGTGTCGCCAGTGAAGCACCCCTGTCACTTGCACACCGTTGGTCCCTTGATTTATCCCCTTCCGCTGACTTGGATCTGGATCCTGTAACCTACTCTTGATCCGGATCCACCTTGGCTAGGATCCGGA